AATCCCCTGTCCTTTTTCCCTCACCTGGACTTTTTTGGCATTGAATTTAGAAAATAAAAATAAAAGAAACGAGAGCTTGGACATTACTTTTGCTTTTAGTAGAATTTTTGTGGTCTATTTGTATCAATAGGTATAGGAATAGGCTATTTATTTAGGAGTAAAGGCATAAAAATTAAGAGAAAATGATGTGCAAACAGTAACTGCTGTAATTATGAAAACTTTATTTTACTCTTACTTTAATTAAATCTTTATAAGCACCATGTCATGAACTGGCAATCTAGAAAGAGGACACTGGAATGCTTTAGTCAATAACAAACTGCAAGCTGATGATGTGAAGTTACAGCTACATGAAGCATGTGAACAAGACCACATTTAGAAAGGTTCACTTGAGAATCCCATGACAATGCACAAAACAGGGATCTGGCATTGATTTGTTCACATTTTCTATGGTCAGAAACCAAAGCTTGTGCACGTAAACACCAAGAGAAACATTTTGCTACCTTGACAGTTTACAGTTTGCTAAAACTTGACCATGACAGTATAAATGTTGCCATTTTGTTTTCTTTACCAGTGCTTGGCCACAGGCTGAAAAGATCAATTCCTTTAAAATTTAAACGATGCTTAAAGGCTATGTTCAACATTGTGCAAGTCATCAGCAAGGCCTTTTAATGTGTGCATTTCTCATATATGCTCATCAAACCATTATTTACCTAATGAAATTGTGAAAAACTATACATTTTCAGCAAAATGTCTTAATTTGGTCCTATATTAGAAGACCCAAATGCCAAGGTGTTTTACATAAACTTAATTCACAAGCATGTATACAAGAGAATCACTATAAAGAACATTGCTTCCTGGTTTATGAATAAAAAGTTTATCCTCTACTTACACTAAAACATACAAAAAATAATCTACAAAAATCGTTTACAATTGATTTTAGCTAAAGAAAAAGCTTTCTTCAGGGGGAAAAAAAAAAGATTGTGTGGTGGTAATATTTCAGCCATCAAAAAAGGAATGTAAGTAACCAATAAATATAATGTGCTTTCTCCATATAGACATATTTACACTTGAGTCTTTGGCTTATGTTATTTTCTAAAAAGAACTTTAAATGATCCAGCCATCATTGCACATTCAAAGAAAATAAGCCAGTTATATATATTTATATATTTATATAGAGATCTGCTGCACTTGAAACATATAAAAAATGAACTTTACTATGAATTTGCACAGCTTTTCTTTTCTTCTTCCCTTAAAGATTCGACAGCTTTTATTTTTAAAAAGGGAGAAAAATCCCACATAGAAAGTATCAACTCATGCAACATGTGGTGGCTGTTCTACTGAAACCAGGAGAGAAAAGGCTGCATATTCACTGTACAGACACTGATATGTTCTCATATGAATCTGGTTCTTATGAAATATAATTTATGTGGCACGAAATGTTGATGCTTTAATACAGTAATAGAAACTCGTTAAGTCCTTTTTATTAAGATACACAACTTCATAAGAAAAATACTTTCACCTCTCAAATGTAAAAGTCTCCCACCCCCCACATTAAAATCTTTCTGCACCGGTGTAACAGGTACGACAGCTGCTGGCTCGACAGATGAACAGGTTTCTGTTTGGATGCCTTTTAAAAAGTCTCACCCGACTAAGATGACTCCAGATACTCCAAAGCTACATCATAGCAGAAACGATACTGCTCCTGCAAGATGTTAAAACCAAAAGGTTGAAAAAAGTTAAGAAAAAGACTTACAGTAAATAACAGCTACCAAATGAATACTTGCCAGTCAATCCACATTATTCGAGAACTACAAATTATTTTTTTCTCTATATAAGGTTAATACCTGGGTATACATATTTACTCTTAAGTCAAATGATCTCTGTTTAAGAAAAAGGAACTTGATGTTAAAAACACATTTTATTTTTGTCACGTGGTTTCTCTCAAAAAATTTTTAAAATATCTAGCATTTTTAATCTGATTATAATACTGGATCATCACAGAAATATTTTCAACCACAGAAAGAATATAAAGAATCAGGAAAAAGAGCTATAATTCTATCATCAGCAGCAATCGTTAAAATATTGCCTTAGTTTGCTTTAGTCCTTTTTAATGCATGGTTGAAATAATAATTATCTCAGAATAAAAATAACTACATATATTTCAGAATATAGTTTTATATTTTACTTTCTTTTGCTTAATGTTATGTGTCTTTTCCCTTGTTATTTAACATCTCTTTTAATTCTACATAAAAACCTAACATACAGATTGTGTGACTGTTAGTTGCTTTTTTTTTTTTCTATTCTATATTGCTACAATGAATATGTACAAATATTCCCCCCCCCCATTTCAAATTATTTCCTTAGGAGTTAAAAAAAAAAAGCTAATCATTTTAAACTGCAACTTTAATTTCTTAATTTTTGACAGTTTTTGTCCATCAGAGTATTTAAGCAAATTATTCAAGAATGGTTGTGGTTATTAATTTTGGGGGCCTATTTATATCTGAAAATTTATTTCTGCTTCTTTTATGGTTGGCAATAAAATTTTTGAATTAAAATTGCTTTTCCTTTAAGTCCATCTACAGGCTTGTTCCCATATCAAGAATTTAGAAAATTTCAGAAACTGCATTATAAATAATGACTTAAAATACATAACTCATTAAAAACTTCTCAACTTAGTCCATGTGTGTAAAATTCAGGCTGAACTGGAGAACAATCTAAAATGCATGTTACTTCTAATGAGAACTTCCACATGTCTTCTCCAGCAATACACTAGAGTAATAAAACTTTCCCCAAGAGGTCATCATTGCTACCCTAATTACCAAGTAGATATGATTTAAATTAGCCTACCACCTTGGCAAGTGCATCTAGAGAACCAAAAAGAGCTTGGAAACAGTTTTATTTCCTTAAACAGTCTCTAGTGATTTTGTTTACACTCTAAATTTCCTTACCAAACTTGTCAGCTCAACTCCACAGCACACTGAAATAATCATTAACTATGATTAAAACAAATCAGAGAGTGAGGTATTGAGTCAGGATACACAGGACATGAACATAAAGGAAAATAGTAATTCTTTGGAGGGTTCTAGAACAGCAGGATATAACCACAGTTTTTTTTTTTTTTAGAAAAGGTGGGAAATCAGAGTTAAATTAGGAGGTGTAAGTTGGATTCTGAAGCCAGGAGTGACTCTACTGCTGATTTTAAAAAGGTTTGATCTGAGAGATGGAGGCAGGGTTTACATTAAGATATTTTCGAACTGCAAAGAGTTTAAAGACATAATACTACACATCCATTTTGTAAAAAGATCTGAAAGCTCTACCTCAAAAATACCTCAAATCCATCTCCCTATCTCCATTTCTTTTGCTAGCAACCAGTCAAAACCAACATCATCTTGTCCAGACACCTGCAGTCACCTGGAGAGAAGGGGTGGAGTTGAGGGGTTGAGGGGACTTGCAGAAAGGGTAGGAGTCTGCTACCACTCGTAAAAGTGAAACAGCACAAACTTAAGTCTTCAGATTTTGTCTCAGGAAGCAACGCACCTCTTGTGTGAGCAATCCATGAGCAGGAAGTGGTGAAAACACTTTAAAGGTTTATTGAATTGCTCATTTTAGTTATCTGATGATCTTGATAAATGTAGGGCAAGCAACAATGATGCCTTGGTTTTTCTGGTTTACTTTTTAGTGAGCATAAACTACACAGCTGTTCCTAACCTTATCACACCACGCACACGTGTAACCCACATACATCTCTTTAGAAGTAAAATGTGTTAAAGTTTAACTTTTTTACTCTGCATACAACTTCACCCACATGAACTTTTGGACACATATACAAATCGGCTCTTCATAAACTGTGTTCTGATCCTATGAGCCCTGGCAAACTCAAGTAGCATCACATGAACTGCGCTTTACTGTTGGTAAAAGATAAAATCTGTCAATGACGACAGTTTTAACAATTAATCATTTGATCGGAAAATGAATTATGGATAAAGCCGAAAATAAATTTCACTTGCCCTTTAAAAATACTGAGTGCTGATGGAAACTATGAATATATCCCTGATGAATGTTTTACCAGTTAATTCAATATGCTTTAAGAAATAAAAATAAATGAGAATACAGCCTCGATAACAGGATTTATTCTTATTATAGAACCATTTACCAAAGTTTATTGCAGCAGATATTTACTGGCTATCACAACAACAAAATCCTATAAATTCCTCAAATTAAATGCAAATAGTTTTCTTCATCATTTAGGAGTTTCTGTGATATGTAATTAAGTTTATGTGAGTAGAGACGGATGCTTTGCAATCTATCAATAAGGCAGAAAGTCCCTACAACTACCCATTTTCATATCTGATTCCCTAAGTGTGTATGAAGTCAAATCAGTAAGGTATATGACTAACTCATCTCTAGGATCCCTCCAAGTCTAAGATTTTGTGACTCACCGGGGCTTCCACCATGTTTGGCTTGCTGTTTCTTAGTGTCTTTACCGCATGGAAAACGTCAACAACATTTTGCCGTTTCACCATTTCAACAACAATGCCGATAGCACAGAACATGCCACTTCGCCCGCCTCCATTTCTGAAAGCAAAGAAAACAAAGGCATTTTAGATAGCATCTTTGGGAGACCACAGGTCACACCATTGTATATGTTTGAGAAAAGAAAACATTATCTTTTAAATTTTTTTCCATTTGTGTCTTAATTTTGTTTCATACACATGCATGCATGTGTACAGGGCAGAGAGGAAAAGGCTTGAGGATGAGAGTAGCCCAGCAGCTTACACTCAGGAATACACCATAGGTATAAGTTGCTGCAACCTAGATACCTTGAGATTCCAATATATTTGTAAACTGTTAATCGGGGAAGTTGTTCATAGTGTTCAAAAGAGTTTAAATTATATAACAACTATATAATAAGATTTAGAAAATGCAAAAATTAAAGTTAGTAGTTAGTTACAGAATCATGAGACAGAAAAAATGTTTTAAAGTAATATCTATGGGAGATCTTTAAGATGTGAGTTTCTTTAACATGGAAAATGCAAAGGCTGATGAGGAAATGAGCACCAAGGCCCCTGATCGGCCAGGCCGGGCTGCCCTACTCACAAGCAGTGGATGATCGTCCGGCCTTCGCCTTCCTCGCATTCCTCTTGCCATTTCTCCACCTGCAGTATCAGTTTCAAAAATGACCGTTTGGAGCCAGGCACTTCTCGATGAGAAGCCCACCCTAGGTACTGAAACTGCTGCACCATCAGATAACCTTCCTGTGGCTGTAGAGGGAAAAGTATTTTTATGTAAATAAGCTGGGACTAGAATTTCTACTAAGAAGTAAAAGTTGCACACAACTTGCAATACAAATGAAATTTACATTGGATTGAGTCTAGCTGATGTCAGTCCTATATACATACATTCCTATACAGAAACATTCTAAGTTAAAGCAGCAAGAAACATGGGAATCATCCTTTCTACCTGCTTCTCCCTGACACCCCATATCCAGTAATCAATTCCTATGATTATACTTCCTAAATAACGTTCAAATTCATCTCCTTCTCTTTTTATCACCATTGATATCATTGCATTCCCAATCACAAGTTATGATAATTAACTCCTAGTTGATCTTCATGAATAAACTTTGATCTTCCAATCCATTCTTACTATAGATAGGCATCACGATTATTTTGAAATGCAAATTTGATCTTGTCATTCCCTGCTTTAATGGCTTTTAAGCAATCTTGGCATAAAATTCAAATAGCTGCCATGACTTAAAAATCCTTACATGTTATGGCTCTACCCCCTTCCCCAACCTTCCCTTTAACATACTGTTTAAGTTCTAAACACAGTGGCCTTGTTTTTATCCATTTATCAAGTCACCTCTTTTTCCTGGGGGACATTTCATATACTGTCCTCTTTGCCTTGAACACTTTCTTCTTGCTTGCCCTTCTTAATTCTAAATAGATTGACCAACTTGTCCCAGGTATGCCTAGGACAATTCTAGTCTTTTTCTTTTTTTTGTCTTTTTTGTGACCGGTAAGGGGATCGCAACCCTTGGCTTGGTGTTGCCCACACCGAGCTCAGCCAGTGAGCGCACCAGCCATCCCTATATAGGATCCGAACCCGCGGCAAGAGCGCCGCTGCGCTCCCAGCGTCACACTCTCCCGAGTGAGCCATGGGGTTGGCCCACAATTCTGGTCTTAACACTGAAACTTGTGTGTCTTGGGAAAGTTCTCTGGTTGGTTACCTCACCCCCAAATAACTCCTACTGATTCTTCTAAAGCTCAGCCAGTGAGCGCACCAGCCATCCCTATATAGGATCCGAACCCGCGGCAAGAGCGCCGCTGCGCTCCCAGCGTCACACTCTCCCGAGTGAGCCATGGGGTTGGCCCACAATTCTGGTCTTAACACTGAAACTTGTGTGTCTTGGGAAAGTTCTCTGGTTGGTTACCTCACCCCCAAATAACTCCTACTGATTCTTCTAATTTTGGCTTAAATACCACTATCTCATAGAAGTCTCTGATCACCCAGCTATGTCAAATAACTGAGTTAAACACTCCATACTCTGTACTTTTTCTCTGTAAAATGTATTATACTTGTAAATAGATGATTACACAATTAGTTGTTTAATTCCTGTCTTCCCAGATAAATATAAATTCCTTAAGGACAAGGAAATCCCTATTTTTCCTAAACTCTGTATCACTAGAACCTTGTATAATACTTTCCAATGAGTAGTATTGTTGAAAGAATGAATCAAAACTTTAAACCTTCAAATGAAAATATAAGGAAGAATATGCAACACATGCGTAAGCCATATCATAAGGTATCAGATCTGAAGTTCCATGCGGCAAAGCCTCATGCATCTTTTGGTAGGACACAGGCCCCATGTAGAACAACACCCAACTTGTTGTTGGTGCATACTAAATATTTGATGAAGTAAATTATATTAAATAATGAGACTGGGAAAAGAAAAAAAAATCATACACTAATAAGGACCTGAACACCAAATATAGAGGAAGTTAAACAAACAAACAAATAAATAGGCTGACAAAAAATATAACACAGATTTCAGTTCCTATTCCAGGAATATTTTTCATAGAAACAGCTCAATTAACAAACAAGCCTTACTTTCTTAGTTCAGCAGCTACAGCTTTTTAGCTAAAATATTACTAGAACCATAACGCAGCAGATGTGCAGACATAATGAGATTCCACTTAAATTAACATCTAAGATATGCATGAATATTATGACATGATTGAAGTTATCCTTTTTTCTCCACTGAAATGAGCAATAGAATTAGATACAGTTTTATTGCCTGCTCATGGTTAGATACATATAGACTTATTAACCAGACATACATATAGTCATTTTGATATGAGAAAACACTGAAACATGACAGTCCTAATCACACGCTTAAACTAATTCACATACACAGAACTGGTGCTTTAAAAAACAGAGCAATCTTTCCCTTTAAAAAGAGTATAATTCCACGCAAGTTACCAGTGTTTTTTCAAATTTTGCTTGCTATCTGGTTACATAATCTGAACAGTTTTTATTATTATTTTTTTTTGAAGAGTCAGGGTAAGAGAGACTCCTGAGTGACCCAGCTGCTACTTTGCTGCTGGGGAAAGGCACGATCGTAGCAGCACTGGTTCTACCTTTAGATCCCAGCAGAGCCATGTGTTGGAACATTTAGGAATGTTGTAGTTGGGAGGAGAATCAATGATGACTGATTTATTTTTTCCTTCAGGCCTGGGTTTCTCTCTCGTACACAGGACTTGGAATAGTCACATGGAATCCTGTTCTAATGGCTGAGCTGACATATTCCCTTCTCCTGAGGTAAAGCTTCTCTATCATTATCATTATTATATTCTTGTGCTCTTATATTTCAATTGCATGCCATTTCTGGGCTGGATATCAGTACTAATAAAACATGCAGTCATCCTTGAGATAAGTTTACATATACTCAGTGGCCAGGTCCAGACTATCAAATTGACTGAGCCAGGACATCTAAATCTAGATTTCTAGGTGGAATACGATAGTGTAGTAACTGACCAGAAAATCTAGATTTCAGCATTTCTGCTTTCTTATATTTGGAATGTGTTTTTGTTCTAGTACTTGAGTATAAGATTATTACTAGCTTTGGGATGAATTATGTAATGCTCACTAATTTTACTCTTGCTGTTGTCTAAAAGGAATTACAACATCATGGTTATGATCTACCTGTTCTGAATTAACTCGGTTAGAATGACCCAAGAATGACTTACTCTTGTTAAATTGCATATCCTAAAAATCCGGCTGATTACATCACAATCCATTGAACAAGACATACATTCCACTTGGATAGGACCATATCGGAGCATTCCTTCTTCTGGCCAGTACTGAGGGCAGCCCTAGGTAATAAACATTTTGAAAGAAAAAGAAAATGAGCATTATTTTTTTCTAATCAGGAAAGTATAAAGCAAATTTTAGCAGTTTATTACTCTATTAATTTGTGTATAAACATGCAAAAGCAACTGATAGCCATCAACCTGGGACAAGTCGACTTCATTTAACATCACAATGGAGGTGCAGCCATAATCATATACTAATCTCCAGAAGTCTTTCACAGTGTTTGGCAGAGGGTATTGTGTGACGATGAAAGCAGCTGGTTGCCTGTAGCTCTGTGAAGAAACAAGGTAGATGGAGAAATATAAGTACTTAAAATGATGATTAGTTCTACAAACAGATACAATACACTTCAATGTAGGACCAGTAAGATGTAATAGCTTCACACAGAGATGGAGCCAGAATGCTGCTTAAGCCATTTGGAGTAACAGATTTGGACCACTGGAATGTACTGGAACTAGTAATGAGTCAATTTGCTGAAGACTTTGATGGTTCCAAAGGAGTTCAAGTCAAGAATTAAATTTTTATTCATTGAGAAAAGTAAATGCAGACAAATACAAAAGAAGAAACTAAAGAACTTCTTGAGGTTAGGAACCTCCCTGAGGTACCAGGTGGGCTGTTTCAATTTTCCAAAGGAAATCAGTCTCTGAGAGGCTGAGGGCAAATCAATCGTGTGTGTGTGTGTGTGTGTGTGTGTGTGTGTGTTCTTATACAAAACTAACTCTCCTCCACTCCAAATAAGAAAAACCACAACTACCTCAAGCTCCTGTGCTTTTATATTATTTGTATATCACCAGCACACTCTATACATCTTGTACGCAATGCACTTCTCATGGTTTCTGGGCATTTCTAATGTATAACAATGGTCAGAATGATAGTTTCAATCACTTAAAATTCTCAAGTGCCAAAGAGTAATACCAATGCGCTTCCTGGCCCCACATAAAGGGGAGATGACTCGTTTTCCAAGTGCTCCTAGATGAAGACATAATACATTATCTCTTTCCGGAGGGAGGGGGTGTAAAGACAATATTTATCTGGCCTTGGCAATACGTTATTCTACAGATGGATGCTCTACACTAAAATAGAAATATATAATTGTAGTAATGACTTTAATTATTGTAAAACAAAATGAGACAGCTGTTGGGATAAATTTCCCTAATGCACACACAACTGTCAGTGATCTTCTAACTCATTTCTATCACACATACTACTCTTTAAGTCCTTCAACTGTCTTAACATCAGTGTAGATACTGATCCTTGGACTTCACTGATGCTGCCACCATTTGGGGAATGCTGCTAACCACGACATTCCATTCCACAGAAGACCACAGGATAAATCTGAGTAGATGGCAGTTCACCTGGCTACTTCCGAACCTTACCAAGCTTCACCTGCAGCTGGGCCTCCTGAGAAAGGTATGAAGGCTCATGAGAAAGTATCAGAAGAGAGAAGTAAGCTTTCCTTTCAATTAAATGTCTGCTTCATGGGAAGGTACATGAAAGCAGGCTGATGGCTATTTACTCATTTTTTGAGTCATAGGGAGGGGAGATACATGAGGTGGAGATGAAAAGGAAGCAGACTGAAGATTTCCTGTTTCTTTCCTCTCTAAATGCAGGAGCACATGCAAGGCTTTGAAAGCACAGACTCCTTGGCCTTACCTACGGATCTTCATAGGCCTGGCAAAAGGGTATGTAACTCTAATGATGGGGTTGAGCAACAGCCTTGTTCTTGTAAACCAAAGCAACCTTACTCTTCTGAAGGCTCAACTACACTAGTAAATCCACAGAGAACTTAAACTATGAAATATATCCTTCTTGAATCACAGGGGATTAAGCAGAGAGTAGGAACAGGTAGAATATAAGGTTTCAATCTTCATACTGAATAGAAGACTACCTGGAAAATGAAAAAAAATTGACAAATGCCAAAGACAAAAAATTCAAAGGCATCAATACTTTTCCTAATATTATTATTTGCTCTTTTCCTTCTTCCTTTTTTTCCTTCCAAATCTAGACTCAGAAATGAAAGTCTGGTACATCTTCTCTGTATTTAGTACATTTGCTTTTCCAGACAACTAACATGGGAAGAAAAGTTATAATTAGGATGCAATGTGATTTCAGTGAATGTGACTAATGGCTAGACAATTCTCCGGTCACAGAAAGGATGGGAACTTGTCATTGGCATTTGATTTTACCTTTAGACTATTCTGCTCTGTAGAAAAAAAAAAAAAAAAGCAAAGTAAATGGCTAACACTAGTCTTAGAGAAATAGAATGGGGGCTTTTCTAAGTTTCTGCTTCCAGGCTACTAATTAGCAGTAGGTAATTTTAGAAAACACAATAGAAGCAACAAGTTAGAAAGCCTCATTATAGTCTGAAAGGAATGAACCATGTTATCTAATTTCTCCTTGCCATGGTTTCATAGGTGAAAGGGCAAAATCTAGAAATGAACCAGGCTTCTAAAATGGCATCATAAATAAAAATGTACTGGACCTGTCAAAAGAAAGAAAAAGAAAATTTCATACTATTTTTATAAAACTTTTCTGTCATCAAAGGTAGAGAATACATTTTCTTCCTTCTTCCCAAGGTGGCCAAAGACATACTTTAAAACCAACTTCCATGTTGTTCTGTCTGTCTGTGGGCTGCTAACACATTGAGTATATGCTGGAGCACCTACAGTTTATGAAGACTGGAAAGGGGCAAGATGGTTCTTTTATCATGATGCATATGTTAACATGATATTGTCCATGTCTTCCTTAGTTGTTATAAATAATCTTTATTAATTAATGGCCAATAAAACAAGTTAGCTATAAATTATTGGAACATTAAATGTTAGAGATAAGCATTTTCCAAAATAACACAACTTTGGTAAGATATGGCATTCTGTGATTTTAAAAATTTCATTCCTTAACTATATTCAAAATAAATAAGACATAATTTTCTTCCTAATGTAATTAAGATAAAAAATATATAAACTGCAATATTTCCTGTACAAATATAATAATTGATAATCAAGCTCCAAATCCATAATAAAGCTACACAATTTATAGTTCCTAAGACTCTCTGCAGGGGAAATCTAAAATAACTCTCTAGAAAATAAAACCAGCCAGTGTTCAGTTGCATTACATAGATTTTCATGGCACTTTACACTAACAAAGAGGGCAGTCTCTTACATCCATAAGAGCAGCATTGATGTAGTTACTGCTCTCCCCATCAATAGTAATTAAAAAAGGCAGACATCTGTCAGGTGGCAGCATGTCCATGAAACGGTTCTTGTCATGGTTCCTTGGCAGGCATGCTATACTGCAGTCTTCAGCTTGTAGTCGAGGGGTGACTGAATTCAAAGTCTAAAAAGAAAAAGGAACCCAGGTTAAAAGACCATAGTGATCCGTTTGAGAGCATAACACAGATCCATCAAGTATTTAGGAGGCCAAGTAGAAAGTGAAGGATTTGTGCAAGGCAATGGCATTTGCCACTGACAGGGCTGACAGAATTTGTAGTTAAAGGTAATGAAGCCTGGGAAGTGACAAAGAAACAAGATACATATTATTCAATATGCCTTTTCCTAAGAGGAAAAGGAAAGCTAAAAAACACAGCTACGAGCAAAATGCATTGCCTAACCCAAGAAAATACAATCAGGGCAGTCCATGATGATGACCCTTCATCAAAATTGGAAACTGTACCGCCTGTAATCACATTTTGTCATGCCATACTTGGAGATATTCTAGGGTGTGTTGGAAAGACCACTGCACCAAGAATCAAAGCATCAGGTTTCTAGAGCTACCCCTGACTTCATTTTCACACACCTGCAGGGATGTTCCAAGGGCAGTGAAACATTTGGGGCTATTTAGAGACAATGTTCAGTACAAACTTCAGCTATTATTATTAATGGGGCTGATCTCCTCACACTGCGAGTGACACAGAAGGTCAAAATCCATACTACTGCATGGGAAAAAAAGGTTATAAATACCACACAAATCACCACCACATTTGACTTTTATGATACCTTTCCCCATATTCTTCCCTGAGTCTGAACTCATTTGCCCTTCAGGATACAGCACACACAAGCTCATCAATACATAAGTGATCCAAAATACGTCTAATGAAAGGGACAGGTATTAGATTATACTTTTAAAAGGGTCAAAGGTTATAAATTAGACTTGAAAGATCTTCCTTGAAAGGATTATTAGTACCCAGAACAAATCGTAATAAGTCATAAAAGAGGCCTTAGAAATAGTCACTACCTGAAATTCATCTTTGAGATGTGAAGAGTTAGTCTGAGAGTCTATTCTAATCATATCAAAATACGCAGCTTTAAATTCACAGACAGGTATGGCAGTTTCTCCACATAAGCAGGCTTCTAAAATGGCATCATGAATAAAAATGTACTGCTCCTATCAAAAGAAAGAAAAAGAAAACTTCATACTATTTTAATAATAAACTGTCCTGTCATCAAAGTAGAGAACATATTTTCTCAATAAGGAAATATTAATGAAAATATCAATATTTTCCTGTATGGCCTAAGCTAATATTGATTATATGTGAAAAACATCTATTCCTTTGTTTAAAAAAGAAAAAGTCCACTAAGGGTCAATCAGCATACCTCTGTCTGGACCATGTTGATACGCCGTGATCGTAAGGCTTTGACACAGTTGTAGATGTCAACGACACCCTCTCTTTCAGCCATATCCAGCATGATGTCAATCACAATGTAACAGCCAGTTCGTCCAGCACCAGCACTGAAAAAAATTAAATGCGAAGAATTTAAGAAGCATGCTTGTCTTTGTTACCTTAAAGAAAGATCTTTCCTGTTGTCAGGAAGAATCAAATTGTTTTAACAAAGTGCTAGACACATAATTTGTACACGATGCGTAAAGACTTGTTAATGTACAGATAACTTCATGTACAGAGTATCTGCTTTGGTATACATTAAAAATTGGAACAAGAGTTCCAAGTTATTTGCAAGGTGAAAAAAATGTATATACACTGTTCAAATTCCACACCTCTCTCACAATCTTCATTTTACATAAATTTAATACACACAATTTCAAGCTCACAGAAGTGATCAAGTGGTGAATTCATGCCTAAGAATTTAACTCCAAACTGCAATACTTTCCTACTCATCTTGTGGGTCCTCTGGCAGCAGTGAGAGAGTGCTAGCCCACTGTCGCAGAGAGACTCTTGTAAATACCAAGGCAAAAGAACATTAATTCCAAAACCTTTAAATGGGAAATCTGAGAAGCCACAATTCAGAAGTGTTAATGGTGAGAGTGGGAAAAAATGATGTTATCAGTGAGGAGGTGACCAACAGTAGAAACAATATTTGAATAGTGATCTAAAGGGAAAATAAAAATAAGTTTTTAGGTGTAGCATATGATTCTTAGCAGGACACAAAGATAGCCACTATTTTATTGCACTTAATTCAAAAGCTGAATCATAATATACTTTGATTATTTTACCCCTTGGGATAGTTCTTCAATTTTATGTTCAGAAGCAAGGGAGCAAACTACATAAACATTTTTTTGGGGGGAGGGGATTTCAGTTTGTAGTCAACGTCTTCTCTTCCATAAACTCAGAGATGCCCAAGTCTAAGTGGAAAAGTACACTTCTGTTTCAAGAGATTATCTTAGAATCTTAAGAGAACTGCTGAAGCAAGTAATTCATAAGAAAGTAAACCTCTATGATAAATCAAGGAATCCCTGAATTGAAAACCTATTTATACGATTTTCTAAATGCTTAGATGGGTTGGTAACATTATTTCTTTGTAATCCAGATTTGGTTACTTCTTTTAAACTCACTGTTCTTTTAGAAATTGAAGCAAAAGATACTGGCTATCTCTATTACTTTTTTCTCTCTACCATCTTCTCCATCACTGTTCCCAGCATTTGAGACAGGAAAGTAATTGAAGAGTACATCAGATTTCTTGACAAGGATTGAAATGAACATTTTTTTTCAGGGTGCGTAGTATCTGATCTTATGGGATGCATTACCTTTATTCCATTCTGTTGGTTTTTTCCCCCTTTTATACACAGTCATTTAAATCCTGAATAGGTTGGATCTTCAGGAAGAAAAAAATGCTTAAGTACAACCTATTATGTAGCTTGGGGGGATTAGTATGTGTGAAGCATTTAGGAAAAGCTTTTCAAATTCAGTACTTATTTTTCTAGTCACATCTCAAAATGAGGCCATGTAATTTGCTTTTAGTGTCACTGAATGCTTGTTTTAAGAGAAGTTTCTAATCAGAAGAGAGTCTAGATATAATGTTCATGTTTTTTGGCAAATACTTGCAGTTTTCAAGGTCCTCTGATGGGGACAGCTTTTCAAAAAAATTTTTTTGAACTGCTGTTTTGCAGCACAAATTCTTGCAATTTAGGCCATTTAGTACCTCTGTGTGTCTCAAATTTAGCTTTAAAAGCTGGGATTCTAGTGAGAATTTTCTAGATGGGCAAGAAATCTCTATTTCAATCTACGATTCAATACAATATGGGATTTGCAAAAGTGATAAAAATAACAAAAACACAGATGTTGCCACTAAAAGGCAGACTTTCTACACTTGTAATTGTGGATAACACTATATAACATTAGGATGAATGTATGTATTTCTTAAGTTTCTATTTTATATCCTACTCATAGCTAACTTTTATTTTATTGCTTTTTTACCTTATCTGTAATACATGCAAGCTAGAACTTTGTAAGCATGAACTAGTTTTTGTGCTTAAAAGTCTTGTCTTTATACTCTAAAAAAAAAGCTGACCATATGAAGTCAACACCATTTGGACCACCACGCACCTGCAATGCACGACAATGGGGCCAGCACTAGGAGGGTTGGATAACTTGACTCGCCGAATAAAAGAAAGCAGCCCCGTAGCATGGTATGGCACTCCATGGTCAGGCCAGCCCGTGAAATGGAACTGTTTAACTTCACGGATTTCATTGTATCCCCTCTGTGCAAAGACGGAAAGAAGCATTTTCAAAAGGACTCAAAAAAAGCCATTGAACACAATAATAGATACTAGACCTGACTGACTATGAAAACAATGAAAAAAATTTACCAAAGATCATGCCTTTTCTAAAAAAGGATACTGGCCTAACATAACAAAAGAGTTTAACTTTATTGTTAGACAACTTGCTAAAGAAAGAAAATTCAAAGTCTTGCTTGGTTCTCTAAGTCTAGGTAAATTTTATTTACCTTGACAGCTTGTTTCTTATTGGAAATGACAACATATAAAATTATTAGGTGAAAAGAAGGAAATGGGAAAACTAAAATGCTGCCCTATTGACCCAATGCATTGAGTTCTCAAGTGGTGTATAAAAGCAACTTTCCAACTTCTCGCCTCACAAAGAGATTTTAATGCCTTGCTTATCCATGTTGAAAATGCTTTTGAAGCACAGCATGTAGGGATTTTCCAGGACAGTGCGACTCTAGATTGGTTTGTGAAAATATATAGCTAAACTGTTCTTTGGGCAAACTATTTTTCTTAGGTCTGTGAAATAATTCAGCACACAGAGTATTATTTATAGTAACAAAAATGCAAAACAAAAGAAGTGAAGCATCCATTGTGGTGTTTTTCTCCTATTGGATTAATTAAAGAGAACTCTACAAATGCACATTTCAGAGACTTTTCCTTCTTTTTTTGTTAAAAGAATCCTGTAGATTGGGGTAGCACAGCTTGGCTTTCCATTGATGGAAATTGTAGTATTGATGGAATACTACAGAATCCACTTTTAGGAATTCACATTGTAGCAAAAGAAAAAAAAATCCCACTGTAATCTAACCCTAACCCTACTCTAACTCTACTATGACCCACTGTGGAATCTCAATCTCACTTGTTCAATCAGTAAAGGTAGCAATGTTACATGAAATACATGGACCAAATTGAGAAAGACAGTTTGTTTACATTTTATCTTATACAGACCAGTATCAGCAAAACGTTGGAAGACAGTGATCATGTCTTACAATTCTTCTTAGTTTTAGTTCCTAGCACAATACCCTACACAAAGCAGGGCTCAACAAATAATTGTAATCGTCACAATGATAAACATAATCATGAAATCACCCAAATGAAAAAAATCACGTTCTTTGTACTTTTCAAGTCAACTCTAGTGAAGTAGGTCATAAATTGTTTTAAGACCAGATTTTAGAAAATTACTTCACCTCCTCTATATGAATCCTTTTACTAGAGTTGCTGTTTGAACCTTGCTTCCTTTCTCCTTCTGTTACATGTACAGGACTTAGTCTTTTTAGTAAATTTTCATATCTGGTAGAGCCTATCACCTATCATTCTCTTTTTTACATTTTTCTTGCTAATTTTCAAATATGTGGTTCTTAATTATTTTTGAAAAAATCCTCTTTTCCAGTTCTAAATAACAAGAAAAAAATAAAAACAAAAGTACAACGCTATTCCAATTAGAACTGTATTAAATCTACATAGTGATATAAATGCTGAGTACTCCCATGTTCCAGGACACGGTGCATGTCTTCATTCATTCACACCTTACTTTATGTCCTTCAATACACTTTGTGCTTTTATTCAATTAGGACTTGCATCTTTCTTGTAAAATATACTGACATATTTTAGAATTTTAGAATTTTTTTTATTATTTTAGAATTTTTTTTATTATTGTAAAGAGTGTTTAATGCTTTTTGTTTATTACCAATATAAGGAAAAGCTATGATGCACGAGTATTTATACTGAATTAGTCACTTAAATAAATGTTTATTAGTTCCAGTAAAAAAAAATTACCTCCAGTTTTCTTGGTACAAAATTATTTCATCTTAAAGATTTCTTGGTACAAAACTACTTCATCTTAATTTTGTCTTTTCTAATAGTTACGCAGTTTATTCTGTTTGCCGTCTTATTTCATTTACTAAAACTTCCAAAATATGTTGAATACTAGTAAGAACAATTATCCATGTCACATGCTTGATTACAATAGCAATAACAGCCTTTATAATAGTTTATTAAAATAAACTAGTAGCCTTTAGTTTTTCACTCCTTGACATGTGTGATACTAGTTATTGTTGAATCACCATTATCATGTTTAGGAACTCTCATTTTCCTAATTATAGTATTGCTGTAAATGTCTTTTAAATAAAATTAAATGTATTAAATGCACAAACCTATTAATAAAATCATAAGCTTTTGCTCCTTTAACATCATGACCTACTGAAATCTCCTCCTAGATTTCCCTTCTCAGTTGAAATAGCTTTACATTCTTAGAAAAAATATAATGGATCATGTACTATTTTCTTCATTTACTGCCGGATTCAAATGTTCAATATTTTGTTAAAATTTTTTCATGTTCTTGTGTGAAATTGGTCTGCTACACTTGCAAAAGACAGAGACAGAGAGAGAGAGCTATATTTATGAGGTTCTGTTATCACCACTGCACTAGCTTTTGAAATACATTTTGTTGGTTTTAATGGTTTCCTATGGCCTAAATAATTTGAATAACATGTCATTAGCTATTCTTTAAAGGATAAAGAAACCTCAACTATAACACCATAGTGCAAATTTAATGGAAGATTTAAAAATTGATTCTATTTTCTTCTGCCATCTGTTCAGGTTTCTAATTCTTCTTGGGCCAGTTTTTAAGAATTATTATTTGCTAGAAAATCAATGTCTCTATAATGTATGCCTCTAAGTCTATACATACTATTTTTTATAATTCTCCTAATAGCATGTATAACTGTTGACATATTCCCTTCATGTTTTCTAATACTGTATATTTTGTTTTCTTTGTACCTTTTTTAGAATTGACAGTGTGGGTTAATTATTTTATTGATCTTTTCAAGCAACTAGCTTTCTGATTTACTTTTTGTTTGTGTTTCTTTTTTATACTTAATTTTTTCTTTGTTCTAGTCTATTGTTTTTTTCTGATTTTCTAAATTTATGATTTTTCACATGATTTTAGACTGCCTTTTAAAAAATAAATTATTTATAGGTATAAATTTTTCTTAGTGGATAACTTAAGGTAAGCTTTGAGATGAAATTATCAATCTATACAATATAACTTTAGTTTTGAGGCATTCATTCATTCAAGAATTATTCAAAGAGGATTCGGTGATTTTTAAGAGGCTAATCTGTGAAGTCATTGGTCAGCGTTGCTTTGTACTGAATCTGGAAACATCTCAATTGTTTGTTATGTGTTCAGGTATCCTTTATGACTAAGTTCATGACTGAGTTTTATGAGACCTGTACAAGTATGAACTTAAGAGACTGCATATTACACATTCTCTCTTTTTATAATAATGGGATCTAGTTATTCATTAAGTCAAACATAATAGAGTTCTTTCCTTGAAATCTCCTATATCATTGCTTATTTTATTTTACTTGGTTTGTCTAAGAAAGTTCCATACATATACATAGTTGTGATAATCAAAGTTATGTTGTTCTTTATAATAATACTTTCAATTTAATATTTTTCCTAATTAGTTTTTCATTTTGGTAGAATCACTTACAAATGTCATCTGCAAATAATATTTCTAGATCATATGTGTATAATAATTTAACTATTCTTCTATTGCTTGACATTGATGGTTATTGATGGTTATTTGTAATTATCCAACTGTATAAATGAAGTCATTGTATTTTAAATAAATTCCTTAGGAAAGACTCATGAAAGCTAAGCTTGTCCAAAGACAAATATTTTAAAGCTCTAGATATACACTGTTTTACGGATTTACAGAGAGTTTAGAGCAATTTGACTACAATCAGCAACATATGGAAATACCTGTCTCAAGACATCTTTAAATCTATGAGAATTATTTTTCTTTTTTGAAACTCTTGCTGACTTGAAAGTACAAAATGATATAGCAGTATACGATGTTAAACATTCTTAATAGGCATGTTAACAGTTGTTTCTTCAGAGAGTCTAGTGCTTTCTTTTCTATATGTATTAACAGTATGAATTAAAGATATTAATAACCAAAGGTTTCTTTTGTGTGTGTGTACCTTTTAATATTTTTTGACACAGATAATTTTACACTTTTGTATGGTCAAATCTATTAAGCTTTTCCACAGTAATGCATTTCATTACTACCATGTCCCATTTCTGTCTACAATACTGTACACCTCCTTCAGTCTTTCTATAACATAACAACTTGGGTGATCTTCTTAAAAATATGTCAGATCATATTACCACTGGACTCAAAACTCTCCAATGACTGCCTAACTCACTTTTAATACGAACTAAAATCATCATAATGGTCTACAGGTACCACTTATCTGGCTCTGTGATTTCTCTGACTTCATTTCATATTTCTTTCCCCTTCACTTGCCCATCTCTGAACACCCTGGCCTTCTGGCTGTTTCTCATTGTGACGGAAATAGATATGCCTCTGGGTTTCTGAAATGACTCTCCCCTCTATAAGAAACATTCTTCCCCTGGACATAACCCATCACTCCCTCACTTCCTTTCACTCATGTTACTTTCTCAGCAATGAGTCCTTCCCTAACCATACTTTTGAAATTGTAAATCATTCCCTCCCCTTACTCAACAATATTTCCTACTTCTATTTCCAACGTTTTTTTTTTTCTCCATAGCACTTTTCATGACATATGATATATTAGCTTATTTATTCTTATCAACATCTCTTCTCAATAGAGTTTAAGCTCTGAAAGAGTACAGATTTTAATGTGTGCCTCAGGGTTTAGAAACACGCCTGGCACGTGGTAAGCTCTCAAATAAATATTTGTGGCGTAAATGACTGAATTTTTATGTAGCATTATTAAAACAAAACTTGACAGGAATGTTAAGGGAAAAAGCAGTTCTGATAGACATTTTAATAGAAAAAGATACTTACCCTTTCAAGTGTGAATGTCCTAACTACATATTCAGCAAGTGGTTCCATTTCTACACAAGTTACTTTGAAGTCACCATAAACTTCAGTATCATCAGGCCAATATTTGTAGCATTTAACCTAAATAACAGAAAGAATACGAAGGTAGAAATGAAAACATAATACATTTAATTCTGGTGATAACTCTTTAGGTTGCAATTAAAACACTGTTAAAAATATCTATAAATGAGAAAAAGCTCTGTTATACAATAAACAGAAAGACTTCAAATAGTCTCATAAAAAAATACAAACCTGATAATGTAATTAGATTCTAGTATACAACCAAGCTTATTTAATTACTCAATGAGAAATCAAATAATTTCTCAGCCACTGAAGGTCAACTTAGGAATACTCAACTGAAATGCTATGCCTTTGAAATTTTTAAAACAATTGGATGATCTATTTTAAGTGTGTTATGTGTTGTTTCAACTGTACTCATGTTTATGACTGACCAAAAAAAAACAAAAAAAATTTTTTTTTTCTTACCCGACCAACCTCCACTAAATTTGTAACCATCACAATGCAGGCAGACTGTTCTTGCCAGATCATTCTCCAGAAATCATATACGGTTTCATGAACTGGGCCTATGAAGAAATTAATTTGAATATTATGTTATCAGAGAAATTTTGTAGTTAGCAAGAAGTTTAGATAAGAGAAAATGCTAAGTAAACTAAATAAACCAAAAAAGTAATTAAAGGTCTAACACAAAATATCACTGAAAGTACCTAAATTCAGTTTATATCTAAATTCACACTCTAAGCAAAAACAGAGAAATATATGTTTCTGTTATTTATTTATTTTTTTTCAATTTGTCTTCTACACTTCCCAATTCAGAAGAAGATATCACTAGTTTCTAGAATATTATATTAGGTACTAAGTGACTTTAATACATCTTCAAGTATATGTGAAAATAGAAACTCTTATGCCACCATCAACAAAAGAGCATATATTACCAATTACATAAAGATGCATGTTTACGTATAAAGACATATCTGAATATTATTATCTTCAAATTGCAAAAGCATGTACTGGGCTATACTCTACTCAGTACCATAAAACTAGAATATTGTTCACCACTATGGTTGATCTTTCTAATTTTAAAGAGTATACAAGTAAACTCGATTACTTCAGAGATATGTGAAAACACGTAGAAAAATAACCGCTGTCAAAAGAGCAAACATAGCTTTATTGTACTTTCCTCTTGTAGAAAACAGATGTGTAGGTTTCTCTTCTGATTTCCACTAGTCAGTCAATTTGGAAAGATAACTGAAGATGTTTTTTTCATTTGGACATTTTTATTCCCCAGCATAGCATTATAACAAGATTCCCCTACTCTCTTATTTTCCACAAAGAATGAACTTTACTAAATTCCCTCCATCTCTTTGATTTGTCTTGTCAAAAAATTTCTGGAAAACAGTGTAACCTCTCATTATAACAATATTGGTCTTGGATATTATTACATTCCAGACTGACAAACTATGCTGCAGAAGACAGGCGTCTTATACAGGATGAGACCTCTCTTCCCTCTCATCGAAGTAAGTAATTCCTCTGCCCAGTGCTATTGACTAGAGCTCTGAGATATCTGGATACCAAGGACCAAATCACAAAAACTACCAACAACTTCTCTTTTACTTTTAATGGAAAAATAAATGAAGCTTAAACTTATATAAGTTTAATACAGATAATTGTACTATAAAATGAGTAAAGAATAGTATTAGAGGAGCTGATTTTTTTTTTTCAGTTGATTCAGATAATGTTGCAAAGAACACCATATGGATGACTAAGCAATTTGTTCAATAACATTTAAAAAGGCATAGTTTTACCTTGGGTTGCAATGTAGTGGCTTGGTCTCTGGTAGCCCTGAAATAGGACAACAAATTGTTATTATTTTACATCAGTATCAGAAATAACTGAATGAAGGCATAAAAAGATGAAGACAACCACCTGTTAAGGTTAAGTTATAGCAAAAAAGTCCAGAAATGAGTAGTGAACACATAATTCACTTCTCAAACCTATGTTATCTGAAAGGTAAACATAAAACAAAAACTAAATATTTTAAAGGCTCTGATTAGAATGTATATTGTATAATTGAGTTTTGTTTGCTGTGGAATAACCTCATAGATTTTGTTTTGTTTCAGTAAAATGTTTATGCCTTCATGCTAATCTTTAGCCATTCATTCCTGGTAAAACTGTGTTCAAAAATATTAAATCTCATTTTATCATCCAAAATACAACACACTGCATTACAAATGGACAAGGACATATTAGAACCATAAAAAAAATAACAGAACATTCCAATGTTAGAGCTGGAAAATGCATGTGTGTATCAAATCAAATTTCTGCTGAGATTTTTAGAGAATATTCCTGTTCTAGAACATGTTCAGGTATCTGCAAAAACTATTTCATGTGTGCTGATAATGTTAATTTACACACACATAATTAAAGGTACACATATATAGAGAGAAAGAAGGATTTTTAAAAACACATCTCATCCTGAACAAAAAATTTAGTACTTTTTTTTCACTGTGCCAAAGTTCTGTGTAGTTAAATATTTAATAAAGAACTTATTCTTGATAAGAAATACATTGTTAGTTGCTCTCAATTGGTTTGAATTACAATAGATCAGGAGTTGCAAAAATGTTAGTTACGATAGGATTAAATTTTGAATTTTCTGTACATTTACCAAAGGCCTTTAGTAAAAGTCTGTGGTAAAATTCATCCACGTTTTGGCAACTCAATACACATATATATGCATGTGAACTGAGATCTGCAACCTAAGAGAGTTAGCATTATACTGTTGCAAATTTGGAAGATTTCTAGTTCTTAATACAACAACACAGTACAATGTTTTAGGAAAATTTTTTTTCAAATTTTATAATCATTTCATCTACTGTTCTTCATGAAAAATTTACCAGTTGCAGAAGATATATTTTAAGTATAATCAACTAGTGGGAGATGAAAAATAATAATATTGTATTAGTAATCAGCCAAAATACACTGGGGTCTTAACATAACCTGTCTTATTTAGAATACAGTCCTACTGTAATGAACCATAAAGTAGTAGAACAAGGCTCCAGTGTATGTGATTTGGCAGAAAAACAAGGTTAAACTACATAGATAAGAACAATTACAAATTTGTCAGAGAACTGATTTTTTTATTCTAAAGAGTAGACCGTTAGCTTAATTTTCCATGATGTTATTCTGATAAATTTAAATACTGAATAAGAGTAAGATTATGATCAGAAATTTAAACAGTATACTCATATACTATACTTAATACATTAATTCAACGAAATAAATTATTAAAATTCAAAAAATAACTGTAAAACATAAGCTTAATGTGGTAAAAATTATTTCCTGCTTATGGAAATTAGAAGAAGTGAAGTCCTAAGTTTCCTATCTTTTATATATATAAATGTATATATATGCTTCATATCTACCTTTTGCCTTATGCATATTTTAATTGATGAATTTCAGCGCACTTGGTTTTAACTGTTTTAAAAAAAATAGCTGAAGGTTAATGAGTGCTAAATACATGCGAGGCATTGTGCTAAATGCTGAACAAGCGTTACTTCATTTAGCTCTCACAACGTGCTGAGGTTAGTGCTACTATTATTATCCTCACTGTAAAGATGAGGAAACTGAGGCACAGACAGAGAAATAACATTCCCAAGATCTCCAGTTTAATTCTGAACCTGGTAGTCTGACCAGCGAGCCTGTCCTTCTTATATGTAATGTGATACATTGCCTCTTTATAAAATACTTTATATTTTATTTACTAAGTATGTTCTCTTAGATGAAACCAAAATTTAACAATGAAATGTATGATCCAAACAAACTTTCATTTGTATGATTTGATATATATGTGTGATGTGTAGATTTTATGACTTCAATTTAGTAATTACTTTGCCTTAATAATTTTATTACTTTACGAGCCAATACGACATATCACAAAATAGTCTGCCTACTCATTTTTAACATCAGAAGTCAAATGTAAAAAGCAAAATTTCAGAAACACTAATACACATCATACTATCCAGCTTCTCACATATGTTTGGGGAGGGGTAAGAATAAAAGCCAGAAACAGAAATCATCAACAAATAAAACTAGAGTACAGAATAGATTGTCAAAGCTAAAAATAATCCTGTTTTTCTAAACAAGAAAAGGGAAGGAGGTAAAATAGATCTTCACACATGTAAAAAAAAATTACAAAAAAATGAACATAGATATACTGTATCAAGCTAATTAGGTGAAGCATGCACAGATAACTAGTAGTAAGCATTAGTAATAACCGTAATTAAGAATATTTATATTAAATATTTATAATAGGGTGCTGTTATTTACATATAGTGGTACTTACATCCCTGTACAGCCAAATCTACAGCCCAAACCAAAGTCAGGTGTGAAAGAAAGCACAACAATGTCAGTGAGTACTAGGACGTAGAACAAGGAAAAGTGTACAGTTTGTTCTTTATTTTAAAAGCTAGCAATCACTTTACAGGTAATAACAAGCAAAAAGGTTCACATATATAAGCCAATAAAATGGGCATACTGAACTATAAAAGTACTTACATCAATGTAGTTGGCATTGATGTAGTCTGAAGAAGGATCATCCTCAACAGGTTGCAAAATTACTCTGGAGTGATCATCTAAATTTTCACATAATGAAATAAAAGCTGTTAAATTTCTCCACTGTTCTGAGACAATGTCACAGGTAGAGACTTAAAGTAATTCAGTGTTTGCCATACTCTATCTACAGTACATCACATCGGTCAATTGCAGAAATATAAGAACTTTAATGGGCTCATTGCTGATTACAATTATAATATTCTGTGAATAAAACTTCAGTGACTTGCATCTTCAGCATTAGAAAATTTTTAGGGGACAAGATAATGTCTAAGGAGTCATGATTTGAGTCATGGACTTGTCTAAAGAACTGAGCCTGAATAACGTCTAATTTTGTCTCTTAGGAATGGTTTTAAATGGGTGGGATCTTTTTCCTCTGCACTTTACAGCAAATAAGCCAGAAACTAGAGAGTGAGTGTTGAATCCTGCTCTTAACTTCTTATTCCTTGAGAGTCAAGGTTAAATTTTGATGTAAGATACTTTAAAATAATTTAACTTCAGCATAAAGTGGCCTACGCAAATCAGCAGCTAGTTCAAGTTAAACTATCTGCTAGACACTGGCTCCAACTAAGGAACAAAAGTATGAAAAGAATATCATGCCAACCTTAAATATATTTGGTGGGAGTGTTATAGCAATTTCAATATCCTAATATTCTTAGCTGTTTAATAATACTCCCATGCATTTATGGATTCAAACAGCAAGTTATCTCCATAGGGTGAATTGTCTGAGTCAATTTAATTAATAAGATGATGACAATTTCAGAGTCACTGCTAACAGCCAATGATGTTTTAATATTAAATATATCACTTTGTAAACAGATATGCCACCCTCTGGGCTTCTCTTGAAGTTTAAATAAAACCATATAAGGAGGAATTGCAATTCACTATTTATCTTTGTACACACAATATTTACATTAACCAACAATTGTACGGGAACTTACATGCTATAATGTTTCCATATCGGTTTTTTGCTCTATTTTGATCTTTTTTGGCTACATCCCAAGATGCTGACTGTCCTTCAAAGAAGCTCTGAGAAAAAAAATTAACAAGCAGACTAAATTTAATTCCTTTTTTTGAAATAGGTTTATCTGTTCTGAAGACTAATAATAGTAAAAGCCACTCTCAGGGAGGAAGGGACGCCTGCAGTAGTAACCAAGTTTCATTCTCAGACCTCAAATCTGGTTTGTTGGATGCATACTTGCTCATTTTGGATTGGAATGAGTTCAAATTAAAGAACAAAAAAATGACTTCAGAGGAAAAAAGGACTTTGAAAGTATTTCAAATTTAAGATCGCTATAACTTTGTGAGATGGCAGTAGAAAGAAAGCATTACTCTTTTCGAAATGTACTGAATAATAATGCATCAAAAACTGCAAAATATACTTTTAATTAGTGTCTTTCAAATGTGCACCATTTAGCATTTATAACAGCAAAAAGAAAACCTGCTTCCCTCCATAATTATTCATTAAATGTGTGCAATACATCACATTTCAATTTCTTTGAAGATCATGAAAAGGACTGGGTCTCTACAACAAGGGACCATATGAAAATTAGAGTCCCCTTCTTCAAGAATCTGGGAACAGATGAATTTGTTGATTGGTTTAATTACCATATGCAGCAATTTAAAACAGGGGTATCGATTTCTTTTTGCAGAAAAACTTAAACTGTGCTCAACACAGGAAATGGGGTCTTCAAAGAGACACCGGTCTTTGAAGTGAGGTATACAGGAATACACACGAAATGAACAAAAAAACCCCAGCTCTGGCAGAATATTCTAATTCCTTGCACTTATGTTGTTACCACAGCATGGTGTTTCCGGCATATATCTAAAGCTAACTTTCAAATTCCAAAGATAGTTTATTTTGCTGCCAAATTAAGGTATACAAGTAATTCGTAAATAAAATGTGGAGTTTAAAAAATTCTTCAGGAAGTTGGATGCATTTTGACGGTCTTTCAAAGCAAAGTATTACTTGGATTCTTTCACATTAAACGTGTGTGTATGTTTGTGTGTGTGTACTGTGGGGTGCGTATGGGTAGTATGGATGGTCTTTCTTCCATGCCCCAACCTGACATTTCTCAGTAAGTGAGGGGTGGCAAAGGAACTTTTCCAGATTTGCTCTATTATGTTAATTGGAATGTTCTGTTTAAATCCCTTCCTTTGTAAGATCAATCCTGGTATTTTGGTTTGAGTAGGAAGGAGAGACAAGGTTGGAAGAATTTCCCACAGCCTTCTTTTGGCTTTTCACTGTTGTTTACTAGATTTGCAGAGCTCTGTTTTTCTTCTGGGCCACCCTCAACCAATACTCCACAAAATTGAACTGAGAGTGGCAACTACCACATTGAGAGCACAAATCTTAAACTGATTTCTCAACCAGAGGGTCAAAGAGGTCAAAGAGCAAAGAGGCAGAGGAGTACTTGCTACAGAAGTCATTCCTGACAGCATTTGTAATAGTACAATGCAATTCATGGTATCTTACCACTTGATTTTTAGGTGAGGAAATATTAAGGTCTAACAAAGTGTTTTTAATAACGTAATAAAATATATTATGGAATCCAACATTAAAAATTCTTAGAATGAATTTAGACCCAGTATGTCCTTGGGATATGCCCTTCTCTTTCAATTCTGTCCCCCTCCCCACATACACATTTGATTGTACACTCATAAGCAGTGGATTAGTCTGTGGAGCATTCCACTGCTTGTTATGTTAAAGAGGGAAAAAGAAGGTTAAATTCTACTGAGTACCATAGTTAAAAATCAAATTTAATATAGTACTGAAGCTTTCACCTCATATTCCTCTTTGAATCCATAGCTGTCTGATGTCTTCATGAGATTAATGTGCTGCAGCAAATCAGCTACCCTGATGGCTGGGTGCAGCTGTCCTGTCTGGTAGGGGGATTCCGTCCCCTCACAGAGGTAGCGAGGTACGTCTAGAAGACGACTGGACTCTGCAGTAGCGCTGTGGTTCTCATCTGGCATTGTTCAGATTCCAGAAGATTAAAAAAGAAACAAAGTTATCTTGCTTAATATATACCTATGCAAAGAAGATAAGACCTTAAGATCTTTCTGATAACAGGAAGAAGGGAAAGAAACACCAGACAGTATAGGCCTAGGGTTGCATCCCCATAAAGTTAAAGCTCAAAATTTGAGGTCAGAGCATGTTACGTGTAAATTGACAAGACAACAGATGCTGTGAGATGCAGGGGGACATCTGATCCACTTTTTAAGTGGAAGTGGGAGATGTTGCTGAGTTCTTACTTTTCTTACATCTGTAGTCATAGCTGTATAGAGTGCGAACAGAGGACCAAGTTGTCAATTGGAGAGGTGTTTTCACTGTCGAGTAAGTTGAACAAACTCCTTCCCACCCATATCCCAACCTCCCTCAGAGAGAGACCCAATCTAGAAAACCCATCCCCGCAGGGCTGCTTTCCTTGTGGCCCTACTATGCCCTACTATTTGGGGCTTCACACCATAACACACTGTGGACTGGGGGACATGGGCATTCTATAGGATCACCCCCTCACCCCACTCTGTCTTCTAGCAGGCTACTTGTGCATTTCTAGTCAATCTCTGCCCCCTTGGTTTATTGTTATTATTACTGTTTTTATTGCTAATACATTTTGACTCTCCTGGCCACTGTATGAAAGAAACCAGGATGTGCTTCTGGAGTAAAGTGTGGGTACCACCTCTGGAATTTTTCCCTGGCCCATCCAGGCTGAGTTATAAAGCTTTCGCTTTATGTTCTCATGATCACCTGTTCTCCTATGTCATTTTGCCTCCCCTATATTTTAATCATTTATTTACTTGTTTATTTCCCTCACTAAACCCTGAATGCTTAGAGTGTAGAGACAGAGTCATATTTTTTGTTCCTAGCACCTGGTGCAGAGCAGTCACTCAATAAATATTTCAATGAATGAATTAGTTAAAATCAGTTGAATCCCTGACCACCCACATTTAAGTGAAGGCCCCATCCCAATTGTGTTAGCTTAAAATGAAAAGAAAATTTAATTCTGCCATAAGAAGGAAGAAAAGAACAAGAACATTTTGCCTATGAAGAATAAACAGTATTTTAATGACTGAAGTACTAATCATTACAATGAGAAACATGCTTAGATTTATCACATTTAAACTTACCACTTAAAAAAAAACAAAAAAACAACAAAAAAAACCAAATGTTTTAAGGGATGTTACTTTGAAAAGCATTATACTGCCATACTCATTAACAAAAGAGAAAGTACACTCTTAGGGGAACTTTTGTTTTTAATGATAATGCATACTGTAGAGAACGATATTTAATTAACAGTTTAACATATTTCAAGTGCTGGTACATTTGCCTGTTCTATTACCAACTCTACAAATAGGATATGGCAAAAAATGAATTGTTGTCCCCATGATAAACATTTTTTCTTCCTGGAGAAGAGAAAAAAAAAAAAAAAAAGGAAGAAGAAGAAGAAGAACCCTACAATCAGACTTGTGTGCCTCTATAATTTAGTTTGATTGCATTTGTCTTTACCCCCTCTTATTAAGCTGAATGCATTTATTTTTGGCATTCAATCCCCAAAATGACACATTGAATCAAAAGAACCCCAGATAGATTTTTCTGTGACCTAACCACCAAAGTGAATTAACTCAGGTTTTTCCCTCCCCTCTACACACAAACATTTGCTAGCAAACATGATTCATGAGAGTTTCCTCTTCTTACTATGAGAGCACAGTCAATTGATCTAACTTTGCTAAAATATTACAATCAATAGACTGACATAAAGAATAGATACGTCTCCCCAGCAAAATCAAATTCAGAAGCAACTGAGTTGGGCACTATCAGAGAATATACAGCTTAAGTAAAGAAAACAGATAGCATCAGAGAGGCAAAATGCAATCACTCCAGCTGGGATAAGGTAGCTAAGGCTCTGTGGAGCAGTCCTAGAGATCACATTGTGCCTGCTGGAGCTGCAGAATATTTACAACTGTAAAAGGCTCAGTGAGAAACACAGAATTGCAAATCTTACAGAGGATGTGTTCCAGTATGAAACAGACAGCGTCTTTTGTTTTGCATTAAGCTTTAATACAATAGTACAATGAGTAGTAAGGTCTTTAAAATAATCACAAATGAATTATTAACCTCAATACATTTCCACCTCATTAAACCACCTAATAACGTGACTAGTAGTGAGAGTACATGTACTAATCACTATCCTCATTACACATTTAAGAATAACTTCAAATATATCCTTGATTGAAAGGTTTTCTAGAGTTCTTTGCAATACACTTACCAGTTATAGGGACTTAAACCCAATGAAGCAGTAAAACACAAAAAATAAAAAATATGAATCAATACGAAAAGTTCCTAAGTCCTTTTAAATCAGTAAGTAGATATTAATATCAGGCAATATTTTAGGTGATTTCAAAAATTTCTTTATAAATACAAAATCAATTGGATGCAAAATAACTATAAACACCATGATTCTAGAATGATGAAAAATGCAACAAATCATTTCTACATCTAATATGATTAATGAGAAATTTAGCTTTTAAAGAACGTCAATATTTTAAAAAAATCATCTAGTTTGACTTTCAAAATGAAAATGTGTAATGAATGTTTATATAAATAGGTTTTATGATTCTATTGTGTTAACTCTAGTCTTCTATAAACATCAATATCCCTTTTCACAGGGAAAATTATTACAATAATTGCTTAAACTTTATAGTCTATAAAACTCACATATATTATCTCATTTGCTCTTTACAATACCCTGTGAAAAATGTATAGTAGTGATTATTATACTGTTTTACAGAAGGGGAAGCAAAGATGTCAGTTATTTTAATAAGCTCGTATTACAAATCCATAGGAGGACTGAGACTGGCAATAAAATTTTAATATTTAGGCAACTAATTTTTCCAAAGGACTTTCTTAATATTTTAAATGAACTTTTTCTAATTTGATGCTGACAGCATTTTACGGTGCTAAACAGAAAATGACATTTTCAGAGGCATCTTGGGGCCTTCTCAATGACCATTGTTCCTGGCTCCTTCCTATAAAATCAGGCCACCCCTTGGGACTAATCTCCCAGTTCCACCTCCCTGCCACTACTGGCGTGGACATGTAGGGAGAGTACTGTCAGAGATAGAGAACAATGACTTTCAAATTCTTTTAGAATATATTTTTATATTTATTATAAAATCTTAATTTAAAATAATTATTGTAATAAAAAAGAGGTGTATTTTACTTAAATAAATTCATTGTATTGTTCCAAAATGTATTTGAATATTGAATATATGGAAAACAAAGATATAAACAATATAAGCTAAAGTTTTATGTTCACAATGTATATTAAATATAAATAACAAATCTGACATCTGGGAATTTTTAAGATACATTTATCTGACCATTTCCATATTTCTTTGATTAAATCTTCATTAGAAACAATAGGATAAAACTAAAATGAACTTTGTGAATATATAAGCAAGCTGGTCATGAATCATTGGTGTATAATTAGTCAAAGGAATAGGGTACAAATTAATAAAATGAAACCCATTCCATCGTTAAATATATAGTTAGATTAATAAATTGATGTAATTTTACATCTGAAAGGGCCTTAATCATCACTAGCAATACCAGTTGCCTTAGATGTTATGGTGTTACATCAAGTGGCTTGTTCTAAATTTCTTGAAAGACAACATTGCTTATCATGTAATGTTCACGTAGAATGCTGAACCCCACATCAAGATTCTAGCAACTTCACCTGCATTTATAAATTCTTAATAAAGATAAAAACTAAAGCAAACATAACACATTCCTAATGTTCATTTGTAAATATGTTTTTTAGCTGCTATAAAATTAGGGGGACGTAGAAAACCCCATTCCATTAGCTAGGCTTTTATATATAAACTAGTTACTCAGCCAGCACTGGCCCCTGAGATATGAGCATTTGATTTCCTTCCACTAACATGGACAATAAACATTAGTCATATATTAAGTGCCACTGTGCTTTTGCCCAATATCTAACAGAACCAAGAATTAAAGAACATGTTGCTTTAAAGAGCATACCTTACTAATTTGAAATTGACTAGATCTCATTGGGTTGAACATAATTGTTCTCTTTGATAAGACCCTGGCTAACATTTTTAAAATCAAGCTGCTTCCTGCACTGTAAATAATTACTGTGTGGACAAAGCTATAATTCATGCAAGGAGGGGTGATCCATGCAAAAAAAAAAAAAGAAAAAAAAATGGTAAAGATTTAGGGCCTCACCTAATACAGCAGTCGGCACAAGTGGATCATTGGGCACTGTAGGAAAACAAAGCTCATGAAGGAATATATTGCCCTAAAGTTGTATTTTAAACTCTTTTCTTCTTTCAAATAGATTTACGCTTTCTTAAGAAATGTAATTATTAAGCTTTCCCTGATTACTATATTCTGCAAAGGTAAAATTCTCTCTTGCAGCTTGGGGTATTCTCAAAATATCAAGAAAAATATATCTATAATTACAGTTCGGTACTCTGTTCAATTTAAAAAGCCAAAAGATTCAACTAGTCATTACACAGATTATAAAATTAGAGGAAAAGAAGCCAGTCATTTTACATCTATCAAGTATAACATATTTAGAGAAATAATTATCTCACATTCATTCCAAATAAATTTTTTTTCAGTTAACTGTGGGAAATAGACTTAATCCTTTCTCTAAGTTCTTAAGTGGGTATTTACAGTTACACTGCTGAATTCACACTTCTTAATAAGGCACTAACACAGGTAGCAGATAGAAAAGTTTGGGGAACAGAAATGCTTTCAAACCTGTAATTGATTACATTTTAAATCAAGTGGTTAGAGAGATGGTACATCTCTATTTTCAGGAAAACAACTTTCAAAAGTAATAGTATTTTATGTTCTTCTGCATCATTTATCTTATAGTGAAATAAAAATAAAATAGATTAAAAAGGCCCTATCATGATTAAAACTAAATTCCAAAATGTTTCATACAGAACTTCTAACTACTAATTTGGTGTAGAGATATCTAGGAGAAAATGATTTAGGGCACTGAAGGCTAATAATTACTAAAAAAATTTCACTATGCTGAACATTTCAGAAAAAATTTCCTTCTCTGAAAAGACACAAAGGCATACAACCTACAAATATTTTCTTTTAAACCTCACCACTAAATATGTTTATGATCTGCATAAAAAACATTTCTATTGTTTACTTCTTTCCTTATTCCCATATCCTTTTATTTTTTCCCCCCCCTTTTTGTCTTTTTTCATGACTGGCAACGGATCGCAACCCTCAGTGTTGCGCCCGTACCGGACCGGGACCGGCAACAGGATCGCAACCCTCGGCGTTGCACCCGCCCCTCGCTCAGCCAGTGAGCGGCCGGTCTGTATGTGGGATCCGAACCCTCGGCGGGAGCGCTGCCGCACTTCTCAAGCGGCGCACTGTAGCAGTGCGCCACCAGGCCAGCCCCTTATTCCCATATTCTAAATATGGATAAGCATATCTCTGGGATCTGTGGCAAAACGTCTCTGTGTACACAGGGACTTGCCTACCTTAAGCATCAATTTTACTCAAGGATTTGAAGAAACAAAGTGAAGTAATTTAACTTAAGTTTAATTAACTTAAAATAAGCACGGGTGCTATAGAACAAATTATAAAATTCGCTGGAAATTTGAAGCTAAACAGTAACATTGATTCTGGGATAATTATTCAAAGAATCTGCCATTAAACAGTCCTTCAGTGGAAATATTTTAAAAGCCCTGCCTTCACAGACCAACATTAGGGATTCTTTAGATGGATGGATGGATGAATGGATGGATTAAACCATTCCTTGCAAATCTTCTAATTCAAATGTCGTTTTGGACTTCACTCTAGATACTTAAGACCATGTAGATTAATTTTTCCTCTAGTTATTTTAATAAAATATTTTAATAAAATTTTCCAGGAGATCATAGTAGACTATTTTAATGGAATGATTTTACCTACGCCAATAATTCCAAGATTACTATATTTCTTTTTAAAAGAAATTTTATCATATGCAAAGATGCAAATGACAAAGTAATTATAAATTATGACATGAACTAATTTTATGTAGGCAATCAGATATTTTCACTTAATGACACTGATATGATCTGAGTGGTATATGTTTGGAATATCTCTTATGATACAGTAATAAAATTCATATAGTTTGAAGCTAAACTAAATCCAGTACTGAGCCTGAAAACGAGCCCCCTTGTAAATTCTGTAATATCCTCTACCTCTTTTTTCTCTTTCTAGCTTCTTCTTCCCTCTCTTTTTCTCCCTCTCATTATTCAAAAGGTAATGTATAAAATTTAAGGTGAACTTAATGAGCTTCAAAATAATTTATTAAACTTTTAATGAATGGGGTTTCATCCCTGCAGGGGCCAGCAAAAACAAAAAAAGATTAAAAAGAAATTTTAATGAAGAACTTACATCTTGGACTAAAATTATGTTGGTCCATAAAGGTGATGGAAAGAGGATCTTCAGCATGCAGAGTGCTCTGATCAGCGTAGCTTCGATCCATAGCATTCACCATGTGAGTCATCTCCTGCCGGGTGTTTCCCATTGCATCTTTGCGTTTTTTAGCAAGCTTGCTGCCAAGGCAAGTACAAAAGGTCACCGTGAGTGTGAGGCTTGAAGGAGAGTTGACACCAGCAGTAAGTAGTTCAGGAGAGCCCATGGATAAGATTTCAGATGTGGTTTAGAAACCCTAGGAACTGGTCATACTTTCAAAAATTAAGTTTGACATTCAAACGGTTGTACTTCTTGGTTGCTACAAAATTATTTTGTTACATGAACATTTCAACTTTCAAACTGCCAACCCCAAATTCTCATTGCCTGCATCTTACTCTGTTAAAATAAATACATCTTAAAAATATAAGTATATTTTATTAAAAGCGTAAGTAAATGCTTCCTTAGTAGAGTAGGTCAAGAAAAATTTCAACTAAAGCTAAATTTTGGTTTTCCTCCTGGGTGATTAAACCTTTTAATCAACTTTTTTTTAGAAGTTCTTCTTAGGAATAATATGACTATTTTTACAAATTTGTTTAACTACTCAATTAAAATAGACAAAGAAATGTCCCATTCTTCATTCTCTGTGCTATTACTAAGTAAAAATGCAGTGTGTGTAGATTTAACTTAATTAGCAATACATTTATAGCATTAATCTGAAGACTTTTAGCTAGATAAAATTCATATACACAATAATATATGGCATTAGATCATACACTATGTAAGAAAAGTACTGAGAAAAGTTTGAAAAACTGTACAGGTATAATGCAAAATATCATTATCTTGGAGTACTGACATGGTTGAATCCTACAAATGTGATTTAGAACCATACGGCTATGTATACACTACAGAAATGCCTTATGAATACCAGCAGGACAAATGATTTGAAGGATTTGGAAATTAGTAGAATTAGAATTTTGAACTACTGAAATACCTACATCTTTATCTTATATATGAAGGATACAAAATACATTTTGGTTCTTTGTAAATGTTACACGTGGAACACGCAAGAAAAGCTATTAAAGATATATAAAATACTTAAATCACATTAACGAGGCAATTTATATATGAAATAAATAAAAGCATTTTAAAAGCCTGTGCTAGGCAAACTATGTGACTAAATTGTGTAGCAGCAGTTTATGTTGCTTGAAAATATTCTCTAGTTGTTTTAAGAACACCATGAGCCATTTTCTTCTGATCCTCATTAGTATTTGTACTAGAAAGCAAATGTACTACAAATACTACAAAGGCTCACTTAATAGCTTAAGTTTATGTCCAAAGGCTTTTCCTTTAAAAAATTAATGTAGCAATTTGAGGGCTGCTCAATTTGAAGATACTTTGTTCTGAGAATTACAGTACTTGGTCTCAGTGAGTACATACCCAACACACACAACACATTGATAGCGGATCTGATACCTAAATAAGACAGTCATAAACTAAGATTTGTAGAAGTAGATGGGTTTTTTTTTAAATAATAAGGAAACAATGACAAAAGTATAACAAGAATTATTACCACCACCACCACAACTACCACTACACCATCACTACCATCACCGCCATCATTTATTAACAATATTTGCTCTATACATTGAAGGAGCTATTATGCTTTTTTCTAGGCTAGGGGCTAAAAACATTGAACAAATGTATAGGTTTCAGACACGTAATGTAAATCAATGCCACCGACAGTGGTAAGACATCACATGGAAGGGTAAGACTGTGAAGAACTGGACAGCAGTTTAGGGGGCAACTTGCCTAAATGATACTGGCACTTGATCCTAGTGTTGAACTTCTCAATTAATTTTTTTTTTTTAAAGAGAAGCCATGAATATGAATGTTTATATTAATTTTCTTGAATTTTTGCAAATGGTTTTATTTTTTGAAACAGTATATGGTCTAATTAAACTTCATCAGCTCATATTCAGCCTATAGACTTCCACTTTCTAAACTTTTTCCTCTAGGCTGTCATGTAAAATGTTTGTTCTTTGACCTACAACATTCTTTTGCCTCTAATATCTGGCTAAGTTCTATCAGTTTTGTCTCAGCTTAAAAGACTTCATCAGGGATGTTTCATATGACTGATCCCAGTACAACCTATCTCATGTCAAGTTTCCCTGCTAGATGTTTTTTAAAGCACCACATTCTCCCCCTGTAATGACACTCAGAATGTACCTTTCAATTGTCTTCCTGCTGTCTGTTCCATAAACAGAAGGACTATTTCTATTTCCTTGGTACTTGGAGCAGTGCTTGGCACATAATAGGCACTCAAATATTTATTGAATAGATAAATTAGGGTTGTTATATGCTTGGCACTTTTCATTTGTTAATACAATAAATTCTCAGATCAATCCAATGAAGAAGGCATAAGAGTTCTAACTGTATAGATGAATTCACTGAGGCTCAAAGGAGTTAAATAACTTGACCAAGGTTGTTAATCTAATAAGTAATGAAGAATGACCTAGTTCCAAAGCCTAAATTCTTATATCATTCAGTTGCTTACACTTTTTTAATTGCCACATTACACAGCAGGCTATACTATAAAGCACTACTTATTCTAGGAGTTAAACATAGCTGTTATAAACTTGGGAAGAATATAAATTTAGCATAAATTTTGGCATTTGTAAATTTTAAAGCAGCAAAAAAGTAGTTTAAGAACTAACTTCCAATCTTTGTTTCTTGGACAAGAAAGAATGAACTCATTCCTCAAAAAATGTGCGAGATTGAATTGAATAAAAATAGCACAACCTGAAATCTGTATTTATAATAAAATTAAAATTTTGAAGATGAACAGTCAAAGCAAATAGAAAGAGAAGATTAAATATTGAGGCTTTCCTTTAAAACATGTAAAATTTATACGTATTTCATTATTTGGGAAAAAATAATAGCAACGAATTTGTCAAATGCATGACAGGTGAAAGTTATCATGCAATGAAGGACCTCTACTTTCCAGATTCACAAACATGAACTAGTTGACAAATTACAGGGGAATATAACCTTTGTTACTATCTGACAGCCATGCATTATCAGCTTGGTTCTTATACCTTAATCCTCACAACAACCCTGTGAGGTAGGCTTTCATACAGGTTATTACAAAACAAAAAGAATTAACATCAATGTTAAGTGTTTTGATCAAAAATTGACAGTTACTATGACAATGTCAATGAATATTAGCTCAAAGATCACGTCTAGTTTTAAGTTCTACTCTTATTTCTACTTCTATTTTTAAAAATCCCATTCTAATATTACAGATACGTTGCTGGTTAATGGTAAGCTTACTGGCCTTCTCTTAATTAAATGCTTATTGATTCCAGTATGTTTAATGCTTCATCTCCCTTGAGCAACCAGCATATATAAAATACACTTTAGGACAGTTAAGCAATTCATTTTGCAACTAGTTGAGTTTGACAGATGTGCAAACGACTTCCATTATCAAAGCAGCCAACAGCATAAACTTCTGCAGGTGTATGTATGGGTGAGCCATAAAGGGGGAAAGTGCTTCATCACTGTATAAAATGGTACAGTTAATTACCTTTGGCTTCATCAAGTATGATTTAACAAGGATATTATGATTCATCACAATAAGCTAGGGGTACTTTAGTTTACACCTGCTTGTTTTAGCAGATTTGAAAAACCAAATGTTTATAATATTTAAAATGTTGACTGAATTGTGTTATAGTCATTGGGACTCCTGTAAAATTTTGTTGTAAAGCTAGCTTAAATTTACCTATTGTTATAAATGCTGTGGACTATATGCACCAAGCATACTTAATCTCAATCCTTAAGACTTGAGAAGTGATGGCTCAAATATTGGTCTAACAAAGTCCAAAGATGCTTTGTTGTATCGTTCCTTTGGATTGGATGAATAACTACTCGGGTGTCTAAGGTGATAAACTAAGATTAATGGCTCAGGAAATAGAATGGACAATCTTCTCCATCTTTATCCAAATGAGCATTCCATACCTAAGTCTAGGATGAGTGACAGACTCTAGAAAAGGGGATGTGTGATATGTATGTTTGTTCCTGAGTAGATTGACAAGAGGTTATTTTGGACTTGATTTTATAAAATCTTTGTCCAATTTAGGTTATAATAAACAAACTGATTTTTTCTCTTAAAAAAATGTTTTATTTCTTTGTCATCACAACATTATGATTTTATCCACTTGTTCCTGCAAGCGCATACTCATTGCTTTCATAGACAGACCAAAGGTGTTCTGAAGTAATAACCCATCCTGGATTCCTGGAAATGTGGAGAGAGATGTCATCACACGCAGACCTCTGCTTATTTACACCCTGTAAAAGCATTTTGAATGTTCTTTTATGAATAAATCACTTGGCTCATTTTGTCAAATACAACGGTATTACATAAAGACAGGGATTAGTGAGTTACAACCACTATCTCACCTTTACCAGATGAGTGAAGTACCATATTGCCAAGATAAAGTACAGGTTCAACTTAAGTAAATAAATGATGTTTTTGGCTGCAGACTAAAGCTACTTATGGAAAACTGTAAATAAAAATTAAAAGTAGCTGAACATACAGAAATACAATATCCCTTTTTAAAAAGATTAGCAAAGTATGTAATAGGCAAAGTTAATAGTTTTAGAGTCCAGAAAAACATGTTTTTTTGAAATGTCACCAAAATTGCAAACATTCTGTTTTCTTTAGTTTTTCTTTTGAAAAGGGATACTGCATCTTTAACACATGTAAAGTCGTACATCACCCATTTTCTACTTACAGGTAGTAGGAGTAAGAATAGTAGCTCCTCCTGGCAAGCAAATCACAGACAGTGGAAAAAGAGAAGCAATGGTGAATGAAAAGCGTGACTCTGTCACATTCAATAAAGCAGAAAAATGTGCGTTAAAAAAATAAAATAAAATAAAATTCATGTTTTTTTTTTGCTTAGCATTTCAATTTGCTCATGCATTGTTAGAATTTTTTTTGCCATGCAATTTAACAGACAGATATGCAATAGAAAATAAAATTTTAAATACATAATTTGAAAAAAATAACATGCTGACATTTCTGTTATTGCCAAAAAATTGAAAAATTAAATGGATTGTGTATTTTGAACATGCAGTTAAGCATAATATCATCCAATACCATCTAAATGTCATGACAGATGGAACAGCTGTGTATAGAACTTATACACTAAGTAGGTTATTTGTTTAGATATAAAACATAAAGATTTATTATGATAATATATAATATATGCAGAATAACACCTACATTTCTATAAGTCATTATAACTAAATGGTACACAGGTATATACATATGTTATGTGAATATACATATGTACCATACACTAATTATACACAAATATATTTCTACAGTAGATGCATGTGAACATATCATACACAAACATTTACTGTACTCAAACATAATTTCAAATTTATGTTTTGAATTATTAATGTGTTCATGCTGGGCATTTAAAATATAATACATAACCAATGGAAAAATGGCATACATTTGGAGATAATTCAATAGTGACCAGATTTTTTTTAAATGACATTGCGGTTTGAAAGATGCAATATCCCTTTTCTTATCCTAAAAGCTTACTTTAAATATACTTCAGCTGTAAAATTTTATTCACTTGAATTCCAAACCATTTCTTTAAAGAACAACCAAAAATGCATGGAACTTTTTTCAACATGAGAAATATACCTACGTATATTCCCAGTGAGGAATAAAGTCTTGAGAAACAACAATTTCCCATAAAAATGCAGATAATAAGAGGCTAAAATGATTTTCTTTTCTATTATATTTAATATAAATTTATATATTAGAAGGGAAACTACATTATATACTAAAATTTAAGTTAAACTTGGTAATATCCCATACTGTTATAACATCTATGCTTTTGTGTATGTATAATAAACATACTTGTGATTAAATCATACACGATACAAGTGTAACACATACCTATGCGTAAGTTAAAGTCATTACAAAGTTGCTTAGGTAATAAGGGGTTCAAATAATTTAGATATAATATTATATATCAGAAGGTAACATATCTGAATGTGGAACTTTATCTATCTATAAAACTGCAGCTTTTCCTAGTCACAGAGATAATGAGGAGGAAGAGAAGGAAGCAAAGGCCCTGGCACACTTTCTATCAAAAGACAACCAATTAAAGCATAATTATGAAAACTCAGACATTAAACATTTAATAGAGAGGCTCATTTCTCCAACCATCTAAAATATAAACCAGAAAAATAATTTTTTACATTATGCAATTTTAGAGAACTGTCATAGCATTTTACCCCCCAAAAATCTTGCTTAGGACTGTTCACTTCAGGAAATCTATTTTTCAATTATTTTTGTCGTTGTTATTTCTAAAACAGAGAGTTGTGGATAAGGAGGACTGTCAAAAACAAATAAAGTGTTTTTAAATAAATAAGAAACAAAATTGATAAGTTTAGCCCAATTCTGAGTGAGATTAGGATCAGAAGCCACTTTCATGCTCATATTCAATCTAAAGTGACCGGAATAATTTTAACTGTGAAGGAATGTTTATAGTTAACTTTCTAAACTGTTTAGTGTAGTTAGCTCTCCAAATATAAATTTAATCTAAATAGAGACAAAAGATCTGAAGGTTATATTTGATGATTTTATTGATCTTTAATGGCAAATTTGTATTACTAAAAAACTTAAATCTTCTTGCCTCACATATGATGTATTTTCTATTCACAGAGGTAGACAACAGCAAAAAGAGAAAGCACTATTTGGGGAAAGCACGTATGTAGCTAATTTAACACAAAACACTATAATGCATACCTAATGTTTCTAATGCAGATGTGTCTTCTCCAACATATATATCTCCAGGGGATAATTGTAAAGAGGCAATATATTAAAATAAACTCTGATGGAATCGTTAGAACATGTATTATGAGTCTTATCTATAATGTTAATGCATTATTTCGAGTATAAAATATAATATACTATATAATTTAATGTAATAGAAGCAACATCATTTATTGTATTATTCAATAGAATTCATAAATTACAACCACTTCTATACACAAAACTATTTTACTACTGTACTCCGCATGTAAAGACTTTTTTTAAAAAAAGTCCTTCCAAATTGTAGCATTATCCAAAATACATGATTGGAAGGATTAGAGGGCTATATTAGTTCCTATGACAATGGCTTATAGATTATGACATTTTGAATAATGGACAAAAGCTCAAATTATAAAAACTGTATACTTTGAAATGTTTTTTAGTAGGAGTATACTTTAATCTCTAAAACAGAGTTCGTTTTAAATTCCGATCATTCTCAGTATCTTCATATAATTCCAGAAGATGGCGATATTGGTTGATATAGCATAAAATATTAATGTTCAATTAAAAAAATTTACTCTTCGTTTTAAAAGTCTGAAATTTTTAGTCAGTGAATATTTAATATACAATTTCACTAAATAATGTCTATATTCTTTTCATATCTTATTTGTAGCCAAGATTTAGAAAAATACAGAGTAAGAGTACAAAATAATTCATAGACCACAGTCCAAGCATCACAATAAATTCATATTTTGCCATTCTTAACACTAATACTTCAAATATACCATAAAATAATATCAAGTATATTTGCATTTGAGAAATTTAAATTTTTACACCAATTTCAAAGTTAACTTAACAAAAAGTATATGTTATATACATATAAAAATTAAATTGCAAGTAACCAAGTAAAAATTTAATTAGAAAGCATAAGTAATAGATTCAGGTGCTGGCAACTTCGTTAAAATTAAATTCTTCTTCTTGTTTATTCTAATTTAAAAGAGCTTGAGGGAAAGAAAGGTTTTTGAAAACTAGTGACACAAATGGTAAGTAAGTGGGACAGGACAATATCAGGTCTTACCTCTTTTTTACAATTAATATGACAACTAGGAGGAGAAGGATGAACACCAAAATCCCAGCACTAATTCCTGCTATTTTCACCACTCTGTCTGTCTGCTTGGCAGGATCTGGGATCACTTCTGGTTCTTCTGTTGCTGCTGCTAAACGAATCAAAAAAATAAGTTACTGAATGCAACAAATTATCACAGAAAGGAAAATTATTCCCAGACAAAAATTACTCCAAAAAGACCACTTGTTTATTGTATTTGAAAAAAAGTAACTTGAAATAGTTATGTCAAATAGTGCATTGGAAAGAGATGGAGTCAGATTTAGAAATTCATCTATCACTTCGCTCAGCAAACATCTCTTGACTTAAATGCAAGGTCTGTGCACAGTGCTTTAAAGCAGCCAGTGTCAGTGATACTTGTCTGGGACACAAGGGGTTAAATAAATGCCCAGTCTAACTGCTAGAGGCATGAGTTTATGATTTAATATGCAAGATTTGAGATGAATAGTTGGTTTGGCAGAAGAAAAGAATAAGCAAAGCAAAACAGATACATCAAGGAATGTTTCACATTCTCTTACCTGATAAAACCCAGATAATAAACTTAGGAAATAGAACTTTGAGAAGATAAAATTTTAAAAATTCTTTGTATGTCCTCACTTCCTTTCTTTCTCAAAACTATCCTCACTCCTCTTATACATACATAATGAAAATTATAAATTTTAATCAATTTACAAGCACTAGTAACTCCCTGAAGACATTTTCCTTTTACCTCATTACCTTGAAAACTGGCAAAGAAAATATTATTATGTACATTACAGATAAAGAAAACCTTGAGGCTTAGAGAGATAAAGATAGATTATAAATTTCTCAAGGACAGAGACAAAATCTAACACATCTATCTTCTAACAGCATTTCTCAGTGTTTCCAGATCCACAGCTTCTACTGCTAAGAATCTGTGACAAAGCCCAGGTGATTTTAGGATTAGGCACATTTAGAAAACTGTCTTACATCATTCAGAGCATGGCATTTGGAGTCAAGAGATGGTGGCTAAATGAACAGATACACAAATGAATTTCTAAACCTAAACTCATATCTTTCCCATAAACATTTTGTTAATCCTTTTTTAAGAATTATCCAGTTTTCTACATTCCAATCCTTTCTTCTTTAGCTTCTCCTCCTGGCTTCTTTACCTCTCAACTACCAGTTCTTCACATCTAAATATCTGCTCCAGTATTCCCACCAGACACAGTTTCCACCAAAAAGGGACTGATAAGGTTGTTAGTTCTTAATTTTTCCAAGTAGAGATTTAAAAGAATAAATATATCAATTATTAATATTTCATAAGATAAAGGTATAGAAATGGAAAAGACATAGTTTGAAAAAAGTGTTAGAACACAGTTAATTTTGTAAAACAATTCTCCTTTTTTTTTTTTTTATGTGACCATAAGGGGATCGCAACCCTTGGCTTGGTGTCGCCCACACCACGCTCAGCCAGTGAGCCACCGGCCATCCCTATACAAGATCCGAACCCTTGGCGGGAGTGCCGCTGCGCTCCCAGCACCGCACTCTCCTGAGTGAGCCACGGGGCCGGCCCATAAAACAATTCTCTATAAATATCTTATTTCAATTGCAAAGGATTAAACTTCCCCCTGGACTATTTGGTAACCATTATTCTCAAGCAGAAAAAGCAAGCCTTCAGCCTGTGTTTTTTTTTTCTGGTAAGCAAAGTGAGTTTTCCTTTCTGACTTGACATGACACTTTCTTTCCATATACCCAGGCTGCAGGGAATTTCTAACCTCATAATTATGAATAGAGGTAGTTCAATCCTTATCACATTTCAAACTATTTTATGGTTCAGTTCATGAAAACATGCAGTAAATATGTTAATAGATTTCTTCCTTTATAGGGGCAACTTTAGAAATGCATACATAAATAACATATATAGATATAAATACTGAAAACAGGTGCAGTACACTCCAAAGTTGGATATAAAATCTAAAAAAGATTGGTTTGACACAGAAACTGCTTCAAGTAAGAAGTGAAACAGAATGTTTGTTGTAGAAATTCCTAGAAAAAATTTTAGTCCATGCAACTAATCATCATTATTTACTAATTAAAGCATACTTTCATCAGATTCTATGTTACACATGGCTTTCAGAGGGTAATAATAATAATACTCTCCATAATTTTCTGACATGTCTGATTTCAGATTTAAGTGTTTCTGAAAATTCTCAGGAAGATCACTTGTTTGATGAGGTCATTATTTTTTAATATAACATTTTAATTCAATAAAACACATGCTATTATGGGATAATTTTCTAAATACATTATGCCATAACTAATATATGTTTTATAACAATCTTCAGAACTGCTAACCCCACCAGAAGCAGATAATGTATATGGATGGGAGTATAATGTATATAATGTATACAGGTGCAAATATAAACTACCTTCATAAAGAATGAACAGCAGTTTTAATACTACCTGGTTATAGTAAATGAATAGCAAAACTGACAAGAGGATAATGGGTAAACAATTTCAAATTCAGAGTATGAAGAATTAAGTCATATAAATAATACTGATTTGCTAATGACTTTAAACATATTTCCAGAAGTGTAAAGCTAACAGTAGATATTTGAACAGAGATACTCATAAACCTGTATGTGTATTCAGAGTGCAAAGCATTGAGACTTTCATAATCTATCGTGCAAATAAGTGTTGTTATTTTAGTCTATAAGTCTTTGTTAAAGACTGAACTTCAATTCATATTTACCAAATGGTTAAAGGAAAAAAAAAAAAAAAACCCTACCAAGTTCATTTATTTAAGTTGGATAAGGATGGTTGTCTGTTATGATTACAACCCTTGTGTAAAGAGTTGTTCATCAATCTTCAATATAATTATTAAATTTGAGTATAGAAGGCTAATCAAATTCTCAAAGTACATGTGATTTGGTAGTGGTTTTCCCTTGATTGTGAATCCTACTCAAAGTCTTTAGTTGTGACATCTATTATCATCGTTATTACTACTACAACTAACAGTACTTTTTATTAAATACGTCTGTATAAATTTATTATTTTGGATACTATAATCACACAAATTTTTCTAAGTTCTTTGCCTACTAGAACCAAGGAACATAAATACCCTGTTTAAAATCATTCAAGCTTAGAAGATTAATTAATGGAAATACAAGCAGTAGCCCCTGAGTGAGCATTTTCTATTTTCTTTAAAGAGAGCAAAAGCTATTATAGTGGCTACACCCCTGAGTACTCTTTATAATTTATGCACACACACAAAGACATTGTGGAGCACCTTTTTCAGAAATGCTTTCCTTTGCCATAAATCTTTACCATTTTTTATCTGCCAAAGAATATTCAAAGAATCCCCAGTGTTCTGAAAACAAGAGCAGCATAATTCTTTGCACGGTGAGAAAAAAACTAAGGCAGAATGTCATTTTTATTGAGCAAAGACTTATGAGATGCATTTTGGGGGAGGGGGGCAAAAATAGCTAAAGTAACTTTATAGACTGTGTCCTTGCTCCCAATACTTAAAAGTAAAATAATTTTGAAGTCACACAAATTTACCTAAAAAATTAAAACTATTTTTATAGCTGTGATCATATAAAATCATTCTTCTACTTTCAAGATGGATATTAGAAATGGAAGCCTCTAGGTACAATATATTAGATGATCTTATAGCATCTTCAGAGACATCATCATCATTACTCAAATTCTGCAAGTTTTCCTAGTATTTCACCAGAGTTTTTTTTTTTTTTTTTTCCGTTATAGTTCTGGAAAATTATTCAAATTCATGTCCCAGTCATTTCTTAAAATCCTACAATCAGGTTTATGTTTTCCAACCCCACCAAACCACCATCACCAATGTCTCTAAGGACTTGCTAGTTACTGAATTCAATGCACACTTTTCTCATATTATTTTATATGGCCTTTTAATAGCATTTGACATTTCTGCTAACTCCCTTCTTCTTGCAACACTCTTTTCCTGGGGCTTCCATCACCTGGGCATCTCCTAGTTTTCTTATGGCATTGGTCTCTCCTTTACAGATTTCCTTTGTGAGCCCTTCCTTGTTTACCCATCCCTTATAAGTAGGTGCCTCTTTGAGTTTGTCAGGGACCTAAGCCTCTTGACATAGTTTTGCATACTTTTTGGCTTGGTAATCTTATACACTTCCATCTCTTCAATTACCATCCATGCTGATCACTCTCAACTCAATATATCTCTAACCCAAAACTCCAACCGGAACTCCTGACCCATGTAGTCATATGATTATTATATATCTTCACTTTGATGTATGACAGACACCTTAAGTATACCATGTCCAAACCTGAACTCCTAATCTTATCTCACATATATAATCTTCTTCCTCTAGAGTATCTTCTTTCAGTTAATGGCACAACTATGCACACAACTGTTCAAGCCAGAAACCTGGGGATCATTCTTGAATCCTCCTCTCGCTCCTTACCTCTAGGATTAACATATAATTTATCATCCAAATTGGGATCCCTTTGAACGTGAGAGGGGATACTCAATAATTATAACAACACAGAAGGCAAAAACTGGAATTGTGCTGGGCAAACCAGGATGCATGGTCACTTCTCTTTCTCATACAGTTAAGTTACAAAGTACGACTACTTTTAAATAACCCTTGTCTCCACTCTTTTCCATTCCATTGCTATTAACTAACTCAGGTCAGTATCATCTAACACATTACACAGCAGCAGCCTGTGTTATCTCACTGACTGCACTTGCTGCCTATACCTCAGCAAACCCCACAAAGTATTCCTGAGACTCCAAATCATATCCTATCACTCCACTGATTAGAGCCCTCCAAAGGCTTCCTGCTACTCTTAAAATAAAGTCCATAAAGGCAGTAACCAAGTTTATTTTGCTCACCACTGCATTTCTAGTAGGACCTGGACTGGAGCAACAGTGCAAACAGTATTAGTTGAATAAATGAATGAATGACACAAAGCCTGCCTACAGTAGATGGCACTGGAATAAAGAAAATTAGTTGCCCTCTAAAAAAACATAAGGATATATTTGATCAGACACATATCTTATTGTTTTGGATGTGAGCATAAGATGAACTTGGTACATACATTTCTGAGTTGTCTCCGGAAACTTCAAGCCC